TACCGAACTACAATGGAGCTGTGATTGATTTTCACTTTGGCTGCATTTCAGCCGCTCGCATAGGTCAGCCACACACAGGGTAATAGCTTTATTCCTGTCTTTGGTCATCCGTGGCTTTGTGTCACGTGTCGACACAAAGCCACGGAGCATCTGCAGCCCTTTATCAACACTTCACCACGCAATTCAGAAAAAGTCAGTAAAGCAGACAGAGGAGCCATTTCCAAGACTCAGCTCTAGAAGTATGTCAAAAACAATCTAATTTAGACAGAATCAGCAGTTTAATTTACAAAATCTTTTATTAAGAGGAAGAAAACATAAACCAGGACTATAATATAGAGCTAAAAGAATGATTATCTTATCTATCTTTTTGTCAGAAAAAACATAAAAATAACAAGAAGAGCACAACACATGAAGAAAAAAACCTGGAAGTAACAGAGCATACTCTGAAGGCATAAATAATCTAATGTTTATGGCGTTACTGTGATGTTCATTCTGAACTCGTATGCCTTAAAGACAACAGAAATCATGTAGATGTACATATTCACAACAGACATCCCATTAGATTTTTTTTTTCTTTTGTACATACACATGTCGGTATCCCTGTTCTACTTCCTTGCTCGTGATCCTCGTTCTCCTTGAATTTTCCAACAATACTGTCTGGCCCTGTCTCTTAGACAGTAATTGCCTCTATGATGCACCTCTATCAGAGTCAGATGAAAAAAGCTGGTTCCGTTCATTTATCCGGTCCTTCTTAATCAGCGTTGAAAAGGCTCTCCAAGAGACAAAAGGCATGGGACATAGGAGAAGATAAGATGACTCTGCATTGTCTTATGGGATGTAATTACTTTCTTTGTCTATTTATACAGAATTGTGTAAGTAATCAGAGTAATAAGATGGCTTTTAACTGAGATTGAGGGTGTGTGCGGGGGGGCAGAAATCAGGCTTTTTGAGCCTGCCTGCACCAGACTGAAGAGAGACATTAAGTTCCAGTGGTATGACTTGGGTATCATTTGTTTTATTCTAATGACTTTTTGTTTGCTCATTTGCATTCTCCCTGCCATCAAAATAGTATAGTGTTGAGCAGGAGTGGTGTTTTGTTTCAGTCTGAGGATTCATATTGATTTGATGGGAAGAAGGCAGCCCTATTTTTGCTTATTCTTCATTCTGTTTCAAGTGTTTAGGGTTCTTTTGCACCTCTGTTTGATATTTATGAGTCAGCCATTTTTCGGCGTAAGCACCAGCATAGACGGCTGTATATATGCCCAGGTGTTTTCACAAAGTCACAGGGGCTTGGAGTTCAGTTATGAAGAAGTTAAAGGGGATGTTTCAACTGGCTTTATAGAAGTTTGACCCCTTTGCCTTGTGGGCTTTTTTTGGTATTTCAATATGTGCCCCTCTCTTTGGAACTTCCTTGGAGTTTGCTGTGCTCTTTTAGAGGCTCCTGTTACCATGGATACTGAAACCCGTGTAAAATACATGATGGTAGTGAGTACAACCTTAAGTGGGAGCACACATTTCTGTAGTCATGGCTACAACAGCCTCTAGAGGATGAATTATGTAACTGGTGTTATGTTTTAGATGAGATCGTAACTGGCAGGCTGAAAGGGGAAACTCACAGACATTTTCCCTTCTGTTTGGGTGAATTCCACACTTTGCTTCCACAACAAGATCCATGAGTTTGTAATTTATACTTTCTAGTAATAGCAAAAAACAATTCAATCTATTTCCAGTTTGTGACAGTGAACAAGTAGAACGGTTTACTCACATACATATTTGAAATGTTCTTTATCCCTCTGCACAAAAAGCTAATTTGAAGATCTTATCTACTTGAATATTGTGCAGTACAAAAGCCCTGTCAGTGTGTGGGTTTGTGTGGAAGCAGATAGGTGTACTTTGACAGTGAGCAAATTTGTATATGTACACGGATGGATTAACTCACCTCACCACACCCAGTTGTTCCATGTCCCACAGGCCCTTTACTATGTCAGCAGTTGTGATTTGAGGATAGTGTGTGCTGCACTAGCAGCAGTAGTAGATCTCTGTTTGACTTTTCATGTTGTCCTATGTTAATCTGTGTGTGGTGACTATCACAAGCCGACACCAGATTCGCCCCTCTACAGTGTCAAAAGTGATGCACCATGAAAGTGGTGGTTTCATTATTCTTGATCTCAAATGTCTATGAAATATATTGGAAAAAGTGAGAAAAAGAGGAATTTTGATGGTTTTCTATTATTTCAAACTGAATTACAGTCCGGCTGCACACTGGTGCGGTCATCAGTTTAGTTGGTGACTCTAAACCGTCCGTAGGAGTAAGCGTGAGTGTGTGCATGGTTTTGTACTTTGTTCCTCTCTATGTGGTCCTGTGATGGACTCGAGACATGTCCATATCCAGCCCCGTTCCCTAATGACAGCTTGGATTGACTCCAGCCTATCAGCTCAGATGTCTTAAATAATTACAGATACCCACAGACTTTCCGGTAAGCTTGTGCCTCAACAGACAGGAGAAGACAGAATCATTTAAACAATTTCAAGGAAGTCAATGAAATTAGCATTGTACAACTGAAATTTGATATGCTTTAAGTCAAACATTTGCTATAGCACCAAAAATATACATTTATATATACATATATATATATATATATATATATATATTTTTTTTTTTT